AAACGTACATAAACCAAAACTTACCATCCTCGTCTCCATCCTCGCCGATACCAACAAGGTCCTCACCCTCATCATCATCTTCGTTATCATACGTTCGCGGTCCAAGTTGATTCACGTCGTCCAAATAGTCATCTAAAATCGGCCTATTTTGTTCTTGCTCCGAGACATCACCTCCATCAAGAGTGATAGCACTTGCTGTTAAGGTACTCGCCCGACGAGAGCCAGAAGACAATTCCTGCTCTCTAGATCGACGATATCGACGGCGCCTACTATTCCTACGATTTCGACGATGATGTCGTTGTAATGTATTGATGTTGTCATCACTGGCCGACTTTGTTCTAGTTCGCCCAGTATCTTCTCGAGTTCTGGAGCATATATCAACTGGATTAGAGCTAGCTAGACGAGCAGTATCATCATCGTCATCATCACCATCGTCCCCATCATCTGGTGCCAGCTGTGTGACACTGAGGCCAATCATAGTCTCATTTGAGTTTCTCAATTCAGGCAAGGTATCGGTGCAACCGGCACCCTCAGAAGATGCACGGTCCCGAGTTCGATCAGCCATAAGATTGGAGGAGCAGACATCCATAATTGTCTCTTGTTGTAGGAGACGAGCAGATGCCAAGAGAGATGCGAATCCAGACGCTGGCGCATCAGAGCCAGAGTTTATTTGAATTGTAGCAACATCTCGATCGTCGGAAGTAGGTATAAGAGGAACATTAGGTGCATCTAATCTACCGACAAGTGATTCACTGAAATGGCGCGAGTACAAACCATCAGCATCGAGATTATAAAGTGAAGGCTGAAGGAAAGATAATTAATTTTATGTATGAGTGAAATCAAAAAAGCAAATGAAAGCAAAAGAGCAAGTTATATTTTACCATCTAAGTTAGATATTATAATGGTTTGCTTAAGTCTGAGTAATTAAGCTATAATAAATAATGAAATTTCCACATAGGTAGTATAAAATATGAAACGATTATGCCAATTTCAAACATAACTATTAAAGAGCATTTTCTCACAAGATAATCATTCAAGAGACGTCTAAAGACACTTTGATACCCAAAGTAAAAATTAACGGAATAATAAAGCGGGAAGAAAGTACAGTAGCAATGAAGAGGATGAAAAGGAATCGGATTCATGTTAATTCATAAATTAGAATTGCCTGGCTGGAATACGAAAATGATCGAGGATACCTTCTTCGATATCTAGTATAAATAGTTCACATCAGGATTAAGGTTGGGGAATGGAAAATGAGAAGACACAATATATTAACTTATATTTAATCCATTGAACTCTTTTCTGCTGTTCTAACAAGTTACATGATGCAAGGGCAATGACCCATGTTCATTGCAGACATCTAATATAATTCCCATGAAGTCAGCTTGCAGCAAATAAAGCAATTCAATTTTAGCTTATGTAATGGACCTGTACTGAGAAGGCACCTTAAAAGAAAATATTTGCGTTAGTATGTTAGAGTACATTTAGCTGATGTGGTCAGGCAATCCGAGCCTACATCTTTTTGACATTCCTTGACTCAATAACCTTATATTAAATTTCGAGAAACGTAAAGCGCCCGCATCAAAGAGAAGATAGGATTGGTCATATCAGTCATGTGGATCGTATGGGCTGAAATTTAAAGTCTCTAAATTTATGCTATCAGGGAAAATTATAATGCAAAAAATAGCTATTTTTTGTTGTTGGTAAACATGACAACTATACATGATATCCTCCATAGACTTCAACGCAACATGCCAATATGC